AAACTCATGAACCAGAAAACACGATTGCACGACCCTGACCTACTGCAGACTTGGCTTCATTGGCTATATGAGTACCAGAACCCGTGTCTTCAAAGCCCAAATATACTTTCTAAAAATAATTATAACTTGCCCCTCAGTACATCACACATTTACCTGATCTGTAAACCTGGCCCAGCTCTCTGCTCCTTTTCAGTCCTAGTTATTTTCGAAACTCAAAAGAAAAACCAAGCCATCCTCCTACCCACTCACTCAGGGGGTGCCATCCCTTTTGGAAACAGGCACCGATTGCAGCAATTCAGACCACTCATTATTAAAGTCCAATGTCAAGACCTACTTATTTAGTGCAGCTACTATCCAAATTTGCGCACTGTACTGTATAAACGTTAGCCTTGTACTCTCATTCCCTCAGAGCTCCCAGTGCTGTGACCAACGTTTTATTGCCGTGGATATTACAATGCACACAATTTAGGCTTGTTTACAGTATCTGGCTATAGCTTTTCACTGAGTTCACAACAATGTAAACACAAAGGTTAAACCGATACAGGCAAAAAGTTAGATGTAAAGGTAAAAAAAAGATTTTAGCTTTAGATGCCAAATATATCACAGATGTAAAAGATAAAGACAAGTATGTAATCTACACATATCACAAAGCAGATATTTACAGACTAGCTACGTGTTTTACAAGATGATACTGAGTTGTCTGTTCCATACTGTGATGCTTCCTGAAAGCTAAAGCCTGATCATCTTTTCAGGCTAGACTGTGGAAAATCTTGAAAGGAGATGCTTGAAGCCTTTATGCAGTGTTCATGTGCATATAGAGAAAACACAACGTAGCCTGGGGCCTAAATGAGCCACGCTTGGGTAATGAGCAGTCAAATCCTGACATCCAAGACTGACTAAGCAATGCAGAAATTTGATATTTTAGTGCTGGTATTTCCACATCTGGGAACAGTCAAAACCTTGGCAGATACTGTCCATACATTGATTACAAGATGAAGGTGTGTGTGTGTGTGTGTGTGTGTGTGTGTGTGTATGGACAGGCATTTCTGTCCTTGACAGCAGACAGAAAACACCTGCTGTGACCTCAACTTTGGCTCTGATCACAACACTACCACAAGTGGGTTACCATGTCCTGTGCAGCTGTCATGTCTGCCACTGACTGTACTCGGTGCCGTTGATTCATGATGATGCCAAGTGGAGCATGCGATGAGAATAAAAGACTGGGGCTAGAATTGAGCCCTGAGAGACCCTAAAAAGGGATAACTGCTGAAAAAGATAAAGCATTGTCCAATGTTATACATTAAGAGAGCTAACGCTATCTCACAAAGCAGGTTCAACATACTGTGGTCAGCATACTGTATCTTCAAAATGGCAGAAATGTCCTCAAAGTGAGTTGAGATTATGGTTGAGCTGTAGAAACGTTACTTCAAAAAGGCAGCATTTGTAACAAACAGCCAAGCACATGCAACACGGACAGATACATCCAAGTGTTTCTCTCAAGATAAACAAACGACTGAATTTGAAACATTCAAAAACAGGAAGCAATTTTACAAGATATGCTTCTGAGGGGAAAACGGGTCAAAACAGTGTTAGATACTGTAATAAAAAGGTGGGTAAAAACTAGCGTCTACCAAAGTCATTTTGTGCTAAATCTCCGCATCCTCCTCCACTGTATGTGTCCCTCGTTCTAATGTACAGTTATGTAGTTATGTTTTTGTGTCATGCACGTACAAGTTTCCAACAATATTGGGGGGGGGTGAACCCTGTCAGACAATTACATAACTTCTTACACAATGCAAACAAAGACCTTTGTCTTCTGTCCCATGTTCCATACAGTAAGGTAGTCTTTATTGTATTGTTTATTGCTTTATTGTAATGAGCAGCAAAACATGAATGGACATAATCTTCGTTATCTAAATCATATATCAAACTAAGCCTTTCCTCTTCAGGCAGACCATCATATCTGCCTATTTCTATAGCCGATGGTGATGTTATAACATCTCTTATATTACACCATTGATGAAAGTAAAGGTGTCCTAGCTACATTCTTTTGCTTTCTGCCCAGCCACTGTAATTATCTTAACATAAGACCATGAGATCCTCATCGACTCATGAAAAGTTTGACAAGTCCGACAGCCTGAACATAAACTGCTCCGGAGAAATTTTTGTGTAGAGACTTGTTACAATATGAAACAGCCCTCAAGTGAGACCCTCAAATCAAAGTTCTCCATAACCCACTAATCTTGCTACGTCACACGGGCTGTCGGGCCAGGTCATTGCTGAGCCGGATAAACAACCCAGTGCTTAAGGCGGTCAATTAGAGCAGCATGATCAAATATGTCAAATGCTGCATAAGGTCCCAAGACAAAGAATAAACCATCTCCAGCATCTGCTGTTTAAAGGAGGTCATCCAGGGCTCGCTACCAAATTTCCCCAGAATAGTGCGTTTTAAAAAGAGCACTTTGACAAAAGACAACTTTGGTTATAATACAATACAAAATACAATGTAATACAATGTCATGATAGGTCATCTTTTTCTCCTGGTAAAGACTGTACTACAGTTGTTTGTTTCTTAAAGATATTTGACTCTTCTAGCTAAATATCTAGCTTTAAATCAAGGCTGAAGACTTCTTTTTCTATTTAACACTTTTTAATTGAATCTAAATGTATTTTTATGTTGCTTTTATGCACAGCACTTTGAATTGCCTTGTTGTTGAAATGTGCTACACAAATAAACCTGCCTTGCCTCTTCTAGCTGAGTACTGAAATTAACAATGTAATGCCTAATACCTGCACAACAAATCACATTAGTAATGATGTTTTCAGCCTGATTATATTACCCAACACTAATTGTTCTTTTTATTGTGAAAACAATATTATCATATTAGATTGTTTAATATTGTCCAGCTCAAGAAGGTTGATGTCTGTAATTAAACAAGACTGGGTGAAGTGTTGCATACAAGAAAGAGAAGATGTGCCAGTAGATAACTATATAGAGAAAATAACTGACCGTGTTAGAATCATCTGTAATTGAGTTTGTAGGAGCAACATCAGGACAGGTGGAACGGCTCATGCAGAGAAAGTGGCTTCCTTTGAGTCCAACACAAATATTTGTTTGACATGTCTGTCAGACTGGCTACAGAGAGTAAGAAAACATGAAGAAAACCAAACAAGAGGTTCCTTCGGTTGGTTACCTACTATTTACCCTATAGTGTTGTCAGAAGTATAGATTTTTTTGATACATATCGATTCTGAAAATTTCACACGGTTTTAATATTCATTTCCCACAGTATCAATCCTGAAAATGTGCTTCTCATCTCCCCGACAGCATGCTGATACACTCACCGCTGCAGGGCCCACACAGCCCCGCCTCCTGTCACTCAGAGTGCTTTCTTGTCGTCTCATTCGCTCAGTTTGAATTACATTTTTTTTTCCCCCCCCGCCACAGTTTTGACAAGTCCTGCCTACTGTGCTGTGGCTAGTTCTCGTCACTTGTGATTGGATGCTGGCAAAGGATACAAGCAAGCTCATATGAAAGTGACGGCACAGAGCGGCGCTAACGAAAGAGAAAAGCACCTCCAACACGCCGTCCTCTATAAAGAACCTCGAGAGGTTGGACACGTCTCTCAAGTATTAAACAAGATGGCCCAGTAAACTGTTGATAAGATAGTTGTCCTGTTGTTTGCCTAACAGTAAGGATGGGGATCGTTAATTAATTTTTATTGATATTGATACTACTTAATGATCAGATTCTTTATCGATACTATTATTTGGTGACTGTTATTTGGTAAGACGAGATCCAATGGGCATGAGGTAGGCCTGTATGAGGAAAATATTCCATGTGCAATAACATTGTAATATAGTGAGGTGACACATGACTTGCGATTAATAAACAAATATTGAAGTGTGCATATTAACTGCCTGGTTGTTTTTAAATTACTTATAGGATTAGACTTTAATATTTTAAATACAGCTAAATGCTGTTTCTAGAGCAACAACATTAATGTTTACAACACCTAGAGCAGCAGAGTCTGCAGCCTGATGATAAACAGTCCTGGGCCCGTTTTAATACCGCGTTTCGGTGCAATCAATAAATAAACATTAGCTTTCTTATCCATCACGTTTCAAGTTAAACCAGATTTGACGCTCGACACATAACGTTACATTATAGGACCCGCTAGTCTCGATAGCAGTATCGATAAGCTCTGACCTTATTGATTTTGGGGTTTTAAGACGTTTTGGAACCTGGTCCTTTTAGAACCGGGTATCAGTCCCCATCCCTACCTAACAGACATTTATAATTCTCTAACCTAAGCTAATCCCCCTCAGAGCTATCAGAGGGGAATCCCAGCAAGCAGAGTTTCAGTTACTGTTTAGTAAATTAACTGATGCTGTTCTGCTTAACACAAAGTATTATTAACGTTACTTACTAATATAGGTTGATAAGATAATTCAGTAATTATATTCAGTAATTTAATCAATGTTGTGTCAATTTTCCCCATGGTATCGAAAATGGTATCAAATGTAGATATTTTTCAAGTTATTGTATTGAAGTTAGAAATTCCAGTATCGTGACAACACTATTGCCCTGTTAACTATTTGGTTCACGTCAATGTTGCTGTGCTATAATTTCATAAATTGTCCCCTTAGCAAAGCTAGAAACAGCTGAAAAATTTGAGTCTTGGATGATAGGGTGTTAAAATATCAAATATATTGATTGAAAAGACTGTAAAAGGAATATTTCACTCTTATGAACAAGCTTTAACATCTAAAGAAACTCTGTGAATCAGACTCCAGATGAAAAGGTCAGGAAAACATGGCGGTGTGTGCAATCTCAGCTGATTAAACTGCAACGGAGGTTCACATGTTGCACAAGCCAAAATGACAAATGTTCTCAAAGTAAAACAATTACAAGTAAAGTGAATACAGACTGATTACCTGCTTAGATGACTCATTGTGATGATTGGAGTGAGGAGGAAGGAGAGGAGAAAAATACTCACCATGTCTGTATCTGACACTGGCCCAAAACTCGTCACGTAGATGTTTGTTCTGACTTCTGTCACGCTCTCTGAGGAAAGGGACAAAAAGGGCCGGAAAATATTACAGTGCAGTCCATATACAAAAAGCATTTACTGTGGCTTTGTCTTTGTTAAGCTGATTGTTTGTGTACATGACAGTGAAGTCTGCTGGTTGGCATTTAACTAAGCTCTTTCACACAAAAATTCAATCGTAAACAAGGGTTTGAGGCACATAAAGAAAACCCTGAAAAACTGTAGATTTATGCGCCCTCACTGAAGAATTTCTGCTGCTTTTCTTACCGTGTTAATGCATAATTTTGTTGCCACAGACGACAGGTTTAATATAATGTTGAATCAATAGTGTTCGACATTTCCTAAAATGTAGCCCGAGTTTTGCTAGACAGCATTGGGTAGAGCACTGCTGACTATTTGGCCCAGTGTTGGGTTTTTTTTCAAACTCAATTTAGGGGCAAAAATGTTGCTGTGAATGAGTCTTTAGTTCTGTAAAACTACCATGTGTTTGGCTCAAGTAAGTTTTGCCCACCACAGCATAAAATCTGCTTTGGGCCAGGCCCAAGTCTGTATCTTTGGAGAGAAGACATTCCTTTTGACCCAAAATAATTTTAGTTAGCCTGCCCCAAAAATATTTAACAGTTCCCAAGGGACTACTGGCTCAGGAATAAAATGCAGCCCGGCATTAAGGATGCATGTCTGTGTTTATTTTCTATTCAAATAGCAAGCACACTGCTGCCATTACACAAATCTATACGGACATTATAATCACATTAGGCATGATGTAGACTATTGTAGTAGGAATCTGCCATGACTGTTGCAAGGCTTTTCTGCTCTGTATATTCCTAGGGCCAATGTAGTTCTTTAATTATAATTACATGTATCATTGCACGTTGTGTTACATTACAAGCTCCATTATTGCTGTTGTATCACGATGATTTATAAATCATTCTTGACATAGTAAGAATGACCAAATTGATCATTATACAGTAAGTTAGTCTGGACTGGACTTGAATGTAATTAATTATGAGCTGTGGAATAATTGTATCCAAATACTTCACAAATTGTTTTAATATACAAGTAGGGCATGATGTGAAAGTCGTGACAGATCAAAATGTGCCCTCTTCAGTGTGGGCTGAATCAGCTCCTCTGGGCCATTGGTGAGACAAATAGCTGCTCCCAGCGGTGCAACAACTAGAGAGTGATGAGTCTTTTCTCCAAAAGTGAATAGATCCCCGGCTCTAACTGTGTCCCAGATCTAAGCGACCACCCACAGGTGAAGTCTCTAGTCCTTTGGAAAATGCCCCCCTTGAGGGAGGAGATCCATTTCCACATTAATCATTCCTGTGACACAAATAGCTCTCACAAATACGTGATTATCACAACTCCAAGTCAGCAGTTTGCATGGCAGGCATAGGCGGGGGAACAGAATGCTTAGCCCTGTTTCTGTTTACAACAATGCACCAGAGCATATAGATGCCACTGAAAATGAAATGAAATGGTGTTCTCCAGTTTCTATCCACTCTGTTTGACTGAGATCGCCCCACATGACCGTTTATAACTAGGACTGTGGGTGGTGAGGCATGTGGGTGGCCAACAGGAAGAAGATTGGTAGTCTTGTTCATGTACATGTAGAAACCCTTGACTTTGACTGAAGAAGGCCCCAAGTGGGATGTGTGTGTTTGCAGGTAGGTGGTTGGAATATCCCAAAATCTATCCATTAGTAGCGTTTTTTGATCCTCTACATTTCTGGTAGAAGTTTTAGTGTTTGTGAGTCAGATCATGTCTGAAACTGCAAGGTTGTTGTGTGGGGTACCTCAGGGTTCTGTCTTGGGACCCATCCTGTTCCTTTTGTATATTTCCTCAATGACAGATAATTAGTCAATTCAGTGACATATCTTACCATCTGTATGCGGATGATATTCAGCTGTACTGCTCATTTAAGGAAACTGAGTTCCATAAATTGTCTTTTTTAATTAAAGGCTTGGCCAGTAGCAAACAGTGGTTGTGAGATAACTTCTTGCTTCTGAACTCAGAGAAAACAGAAACACTAATTATGGCCCTGAAAGTAGAATCCCTCTGATTAAACAGCATATTGGTGACTTAGGCTTGTCTGTCCAGCCGAGCCTCAGGAGCTTAGGTGTTGTTTTTGATTCAACAATGTCCTTGGAGTACCACACTAAACAATTTGTCAGAAACAGTTTCTTCCAACTAAGGAATATTTCCAAATTAAGAACACTTGTGTCAAAGGGTGAGTTGGAGATGATCATTCATGCTTTTATTTCCTCTCGTTTAGATTACTGTAACAGTCTTTTTACATGTTTGAGCAAGAAGGAGCTTTACCGTCTCCAGGCTGTTCAGAACTCTGCTGTAAGGCTTTTAACTCACATTAACAAAAGAGCGCACATCACACCCGTTTTAGCAGCACTTCACTGGTTACCAGTCCAGTATAGAATTCAGTTTAAAATCCTGGTCCTTACTTTTAGAGCCCTGCACGGTCAAGTTCCTCCCTACATCTCTGAGTTGATACAGCTTCATACTCCCATGAATTGTTGATTTATTTTAAAAAGCAACTGAAGCTATTCAAGCAGGGTTTTAGTTAGAGAAAAGGTTTTTATTCTATGTTTTCCATTTGTTTTTAAATTTTCTAATGCATTGTATTTTACTTTGTTGTGTTACATTTTATTGTGAAGCACTTTCACAATAAAATTGAAAGGTGCTATACAAATAACTAAAACTTACTTAGTCTTAAAGAAATAAAATCTGCAGATCTTTAACCAAAATCTTTTCACAATTTATTTTGAATAATAAGATGAATGTAGATCCTTCTGCAACATAAAATGACGGCTATCCTATGCAGTCCTGCTATTCCAGGGAATAGCATATGTAACGTCATCTACATCTGCACTAGAACTAGTATTGCTTGCGTCGTAGATTCTCCGTTAGTTATACTCTACATTGCAGATCACCTGGAAAGTATTTGCAGTAAGATAGATAACAATATGTGTTCTGCAATACCCTGATGTCTTAAAAAGTCAACATGCTATAAAATATATAGAAAAAAGATGATTTATAATAATAATTGTACCAGTGCTTGTGGCTCAGTGAGAACATCCCAAATATTATGATTATGTTCTTGTTTGTGGGTTCTCTTGTGTTTCCACTGGCATGTATAGCCTCTTGGGGCTTGGTGGAAAACCCTATGTTTCACGTACGAGACACGTGTTTACATTCACTCACTGCACTACAAAAGAAGGAAAACATCATGACTGTTGCCCGCAGTGGTGCTGGCCTCACCATCTCCTTGCCCTTGGAGATGTGAACCTCCATACGAAGGCAGAATATGACATTAACGTCTCATGCCTGGTTCTTCTCTCTGGTTGCTGTCATGGAGTTCAGGTCATCCAGCCTTGTAGCCACGCTCGTGGCTTCAGCAGCAAGCAGTAGAGCAGAAATGACCATTCCAGCTGGCTGGCTGAGAAATGGCAAAGCCTGCTTGAGCATGTGGGCTTGCTGTTATGCAGTTTGTTGTCCTTGGGGGGCAAATATTTGGATGAAATGGCATCAATTAGAGGGATTCCCACTGACATATGTGCTTATTTGGGCATGACTGAACAAAGACATCCACCCAAGGGAAAGCAGATTTTCTGCGAACAGTGATCCTGGTGTCGATGTGCTGTCTGTATCATAAGACCATACCTCAGTAGATAGGTTTACAGAGTGCGGGTGAGTGATTTTTTTTTTTTTTCTTTTGATCCATGAGGTCCAAAAGCTACCAATGGTAGAAAAACTATTCGGCAAAGACTACTACAGTATAGAGTTGGAATTATTATTACAGCAACAAGATTTTATTTTATTTCAATAACAATATAATAATACTGTTTGTACATAAACCAGTCCATCCAGATAATTAGCTGCTGATTGCATAAACAAGTCAGTCCTTTTATTTTTCTAACCTGACGAAAGAACAGTACAGATTATACAGGGTAGACATGTGCATTAAACATTTAATATTCTATGTGTTTTATATTGTTTACAGCAGCATGTATAAGCATGCATGCACTTTTTTTCAAGAGCTACAACAGCCTCACTGAGCAGTCTATAAGGCTTTTTTCTGTAGGTGTCTGTGATTTATGTAACATATACCTTACCTCCCAGCCCAGGACGTAGCCTGTTGTCATATCCATCCAGCAGCCTGTCTAGGATACGGGTGAAAATGGTGATATTGTCTTTACTATCATCGGGCAACGGCTCTCTGTGTCCAACAACTGCCCTGCAGGAAGAAATGGAGAGACAAAGGTGGAGTCAAAAGATGGAAAACATATAAAATGTAATAAAAAAACTTTTGAGACATTGTTCCACTGAGACTGGCATGCTCTCAGTGTACAGTGGTGTGAAAGCCTGCTGTTATCAGCTATTGCAAAGTCAATCTATATTCTTACAGTAAAACATACACAAAACATACACGTTGAAATGTATGTACATTCTCCACCACACAAATGGATGTATTAATGAATTATTAATTAAAACATTACAGATACCATTTTTCAGTATGATGAGAATTATTATTTTTTTTTTTACATTTTGACCATGATCAAAAATTAATTCTATAAGGATATTTAAATAAATACTGATATAGAATATATTCAGCATGATAAAGTACTATAAGTGTGACCTGATCCTGTTAATTAGGTCTAGTTGCACCTGCTTGTTTTAATATTTCCCTCACAGTCAAAATACCAGTCAGTGATCAGCCTCGGGCCTCAATCAATATTTGAATAATAACTTCTGGTTGTGTTTGTTTTGTTTGATTCATCTTTATAGGCTGGAAACTCCATATTTACAAAACAACAGTGAATTTATGGTAATTAATTCTTTCCTGAGAAGAAAATACTCTGCAGTGTTTTGTTAAAGAATTCATCATATGCTATCAGCCACTGGTTTAAATTAATTTACATGGCTCACACTCCCCTGCAGAACAATATTGTGGTGGGTTGAAAAGGCCAATATATAATATAGGTGAAACACTGATGAGTTAATGAGTACCATCTCATTAACTCATCAACTGTTTAATGAAACTTAAATCCCCTGAGGAGCTGAGCTATAGTATCCAAGTAACGCCCATCAACAACCACTCCATGTCCTGATGCACTGTCACAGACAGCATTGTGCTGCTTGTCAAGAACGGAGCTTTGAGGAATTTAGTAACCATCATTTTTCTTCAATGTTGCTTAAAAGGAAGCCTGCACTCAGCAAGTCTGTCTTTGCTAGGCGTTTTACAAACTGCTTTCTGTAGCCTAATCTCTCCTGTGATAACAACTCAACATAAGAGTCAGTCTGACCTTCAGCCCCATCCATTAAAACACTAACTGGGTGAAGGTCACTGCTTAAAGGCATCATAATTGTGAGGCATGTGGGCGAATGACTTCCACTAGCTATTTCTGGGGCATATGTGGGAAAAAATTAAAAATTAAGCATCACGGCTCCCTCTTGTTCCAACAGTGTTTAGTATGATAAACCAGGACATCAACATTTATGAAGCCCCCAAAAGGAAAGAAAAAGGTATGTTTTTACTTTATTGAACTATAAAATTTTGAATGTAGCATTAATACCTCTCCAGTAACCACCAGGTTATTCTTCTGCCCCAGTTGTACTGATTACATTTTGTTGTTGTGAGGATCCTCAGTTGAGATGGCCAGGAATACTGAAGGATTAATAATTGTATTAAGTTTTTACTTCCTGCTGCTGCTTGACATTAAAAGTTTTTAATTGGTGAAACACAGAGTGGCTTTTATTGTGACACAGCCTCAGGAAATGTTTATACAAGGAAAAGGTTGTTTATAAAAAATTAGTCTACAAAACAAGACAACAGTGATTCTTGGCATTTTATTGCATGGCGTAATGGAAGAAGGGAGGTGAACGAGCTGAAAGAGTTGCAGATGACAGGCTGCACATCTGCAACCCTTCAGGAAGGTTACCAACTTTACTGTGTCCTGCGGGTGTGTTATTAAATCACTATAAACAGATACACCAGTTGCTTTTCTGTTCCATTTCTGACAAAGCAGCTGCTCATAGGAGCGTTTGCTGTAGTATTAAACACTTGGTCACCATGGTAATCACAGGCGTTGCGAAATCAACCAGGATTAAAATCTTAAGAATTACAACTTTAAGAAGACATTACTAATGATTAGCCTGATGATGTCAGATATTTGAGGCTCAGTAACCCCCAAGTGCACTCCACTGAGACTGAGCCTTTTAACACGAAGCTCACGATTTGCACCTCATTGAGCGGGGCACAGTTTGATATATTCTGGTTGTCAAATAGGTATCTAACTGTATAATTAAGGTCTGCCAAAAATATGTTAAAATATGACTGTAACAGTGTACTCAAATATTTGAAAGAAATATACATTTCTGGCTTTTCATTTATGCACCCTTTCAAACAGTGACAGGCGTGCATGTTTCAGGCAGCTCTGGCACTCCGAAAACACCAAACACACAAGGCTTTAGAAATGGCCGGAACGTGTTTAACTGCAATAGGCAATATCTCACTTAACATGAATCATATATCAAACAAAAAGCCTCTGTGGCCTCTCTGACAGCACCAGTAGAAACTCAAAAATTAATGAGAAACCTTTAGTCCCTGAGAAACCATTCTAACAATGTCTGCTTCACACTAAAATATCCACTTCAGAAAAACAAAGTACTTGTGTGGTGTGTAGCATCTGTATGCTTTACTGAAACACACCCCTCTCTCTCTCTCTCTTTGTCTCCCCCCTCCCCAGTATCAGCCAGCCTTTTAAATTCCCTGATGGGAACAAAGAAATGGGCCAATTCCTCTGAATTTGACATCATTTTGTTAAAACACACAGGTTTTATAATCATGCCAGCCGCTTGTTTGACTTGCATCTCCTTCATTATTCATACTCTCAATACAAGAGTATAGATATCTAATAGGAAAAGAAAGAATGACAGAACAGTCATTATTTTCCTGAACAATTCACACATAAAGAAATAACATTTGAATAGGAAAACTCTACTTTAATAATTGACATGGCTGAATGTTGTTGAATGTCTAAACTTTGCCTGCAGCAGAACAAGTTGCATAAGTAGCAGGAAAGATAAAGGTACTGTCGGTGTAAACACTGATGATGTAAAGAACACCTAAACATCTACAATGTTAAAGGCTACCACTGTTGTGATGCATTTAGAGAATATTTATAATGTTCATGGGTTTAGCATATAAATAATATTAATTTTTAATAACTGCGCTGCAGTCTGATTGTATTATTCTCTGTGGTCGCTGTGAAGTTGACAATTGATGCCTAAAAGTGAATTGTGAGTATTTGATCATAGGATGACTGATACATATTAGCCAGTGCAATGTGAGGCGAGCCTGGAAAACTGTCAGTAAAAAGGTCCCAAAACACATCTGATAGAAAAAAAAAAAAAATAACTGCAAATAAACTGTTAGAAATGATTCACTACAACATTACACATGTGGTAAAAAGATATATAGGAAGGTGAAATTTACTGTTAAGTTTTGTTCTACCACGTTTATGATTCTTTTATTGCTGTTTTCACACTCTAAGAATATGAAATAACAGTTTCACATTGTTAAGCACAGCTGTAGCTAATAACGTTAATAATACAATAGCTGCATTCCATTCAGATGTGCCAGTTCCAGGGTCCTGGTATTATGCATGCTGGCTCATTACGAATACTTACGCTTACGGAGACACTGTATATGGCATTAAAGTTTTTTTGTTGAATGGAGTTTGGCTCATCCCCAACAAACCGCCCCAGACTAAATGTATGTGGACATACAGTTACTGCAAGTCATTACAGTTAAGTCTGGGGCGGCATGACGTTTGCTACAGTAGCAATTTTAACATGTTTGCCTGATTACACACTGATTTTGAAAAGAAAGATTTTTAGCTGCTCAGTGTCATATTTATTTAACTTGTGAAATTAACAAAGTTTACTTTAGGTGATCTCTTGCTCAGCCGCATCATCCAGCTGACGGATCTGTTTGACAGACTGGAACTGACCCTTCACACTGACCAAATAATGTCAGCAATATTAGTACACAAATATATCAAAACATTCACACTCTGCTACAGTCTGTAGAGTAGACTAATTGTTGATACTTTTCTTTGCTACACAACTGTACCACACCTTCGGAAAGTGCCCGCTGTTTGGCACATTGTCACTAGTTGCTCCAGGCAGGAAACAGCAGACTTCTCCACACCTTTTTATATTTTGGTTTATTTGCAGCAAGTACACACTGTGGCAGAAAAGTCTGACATTTTACAGTACCAAAATTGACAACTCACGCTTCTCTGTTTGTGACAAGAAAATCACTGCCACATCCAATGACACCTCGGACTTAATGAAGCAGCGAATAGTGTACAATATTAACCTGAGGCAGGTTTGACTGGAAGACAAACAAAGATGGATTTTTGTTGGCATAGGCCTACATGTTTTAATCCTCAACTCTAAAAGGAAAACTCTAAAAGTTATATTGAGCAGTCTGATATGAAACATTTGAGTCATCATTATTACTACACAAAAAGCTTTAAAGGCATAATTTAGTTAGAATCATATTTGTGGTAACAGTATAAAGTAGCAGCACATTAAACACAACAGCTTCATAGTCAGATTTCCTGGTGGATTCATAAGATGAAATAAACAAAATAATAAGTCTAGCATATTATATATCCTGAAGCATATGGACAATTTAACAACTTTATACTTTGTGTGCAAACAGACTTAACTTAACTGGGAGTTTATTCCCTCAGAAGAAGAGACACTCTGCATTGAAATATCACCCTGTAAAAATAAACTTTCTTAATTGGATATGTTCTGAAGAAGTCATCTCTTTAATTAATTATTGCTCAGTCCCATTTGTGCAGTGGATTTGCAACATTCTTCAGCTGAAATATAAGAAGACTGTCGCTTCTCTTTCAAAGATGAGAGACAGAAAATCTCTTAGAGATTGTAAAATATTAAACTCATGTGCAAATATGCACCATTTATCAGTGCTCACAAGGTCCAAAAACCACTGTACTTAGATACAAATGCATTCGATAAATACCTCTTTCCATACTTTCATCTCACTGGTATTAATTCTTCATGGATGTTGCAGTGGCCAGTTTCTGCTGCGGAGGTAGTGTTGTCTATGGTGGGTATAGACTTGTGGGAACAAATGTGTGAGTGGGCCAAGCAGTCTGAGTTAGTGGAATGGGCATGTACTAAGTGAGTGGACTGGAC